GGGGGGTATCATGGGCAAAACAGTATACTCTGTTATGTCCATGGTACTGCTCATGTCTATTGGCGACGGTTACCACTTTCAATCAGGTGGGCCGTCAGCTTGTTTGCCATTCTAAGTTGTATAAAAAAAAATTCCAACTATCTGGATGAGTGGCGGTACTCCATCGTGCGTTTTCAAGGCATTTTCTTTCACGCGCAACCACGATTTGATATTACCAGCAGCCGTAATTTCGAACCGTTATGACATTGTAACTTTCAAGAGAAGAGCATATTCCTTTTTAAAAGGTCGCCAGCACACCTGCAATGGATTTGGTGTTGTGGATGCTCATGGGCGGCGATAGTCACTTACCATCATGTAAACCGCATGCTCATTTGCCCCCTGTGTTATATAAAAAGATCGTATTATGCATCTATATTGCTGATTACCGTATGGTCTCACCAAAGAATAGGCCACCGCATCCTTTCCCGTGGATGTCGTAAGAAGCGAGTCGCTTCAAGCGACTAAGGCCCTTCCTTAAGGCCGGGCGAGGGATGGACAGCAGCGTCCCTCTTAAAACATCTCCAAGGCCTAACTGCAGTTACCAATCCGCCTGCCAAGCGCCTGGCTATCACTGGCAAAACTCCCCAAGGGGGAAGCTTATGTCCAGCAGTGGACAGTTAAGGCTGATATGATGATTATAATGACTATGTATTTATGTTGTCAATCTTTATATTTTTGCTTCTTAGTTTATGTCAACTTCTAATCTGTCAATGTCACTTGTCATTCAATGTCATTTTGCCAATTGGTGGGCAGTCGTTGTGTCGTTCTTTCTAGAATCATGTAAAAGCTAAAAACAATGAATTAAATCTTTGTGTAGAAATCAAATAAATAGTATAGAAATTTTAATATACCAGACTTTTTATATACCAGAAGAGAACAGTTAACGACAGTTCACACTCGATTGTCCCTGCTTATCCCGCAAGGAACTTAGCATGAAGACAGATTGATAACAAATTAAATGCGGTTCATCCACGATATCATAGCGAAGAATTAAATACATCTCCATACAATTGCATAGGTACATTTTGCTCTTCTACTATATGGTAACGGTAAAATCAGACGATATCATATCGTGTTACGATAAATTTATAAGAGCGCTCATTGTGGAATAATTCATTCTGCTCGGACGATTTTAAATACGGCAATACCGCGGAGTTTATGTAGATTCCAATTATTTGCCTCGAATTTCGCATAAACGAGTACTCTGTTTACATTTCACCAACATCACGTGTATAGATATTTACATTAGCCGTTATTATTGTAGGGAATGAAAGTAAATATGATATATTTATTGCCTATTAAGATATATTTTTAACAAGCTCAAAAAAGAAATTGAATTTACTATGGGTGTGCTTTGGAGAGTTGTTGGAGTTGGAGAGTTCATCATCAACATATCAACAGTTAACTTTCTACTACTGAAATAAATGGTAAAGGCAGTGCCAGAGGAAGACTGTCTACAAAAGTCGATTGCTTGGGTATCTCTGTCCCATTCGTGTTTCAACCGTGAAGCAGTTATATTTGCATGGCTGTGTTTCAGTTTAAAGGGTGGGATATGGCGTGAATTTACTGGGTATAGAGGAATAACACCCGAGTCCTCAGGAATGGCAACGCCAGGGGGGGTGTCATCGGCGAAACAATATACTCTGTCATATCCATGGTACTGCTCATGTCTATAGGCGACGGTTACCACTTTCCATTAGGTGGGCCGTCAGCTTGTTTGCCATTCTACGTAGTGTAAAAAAAACCACATCGATTAAATAAAAATTGCCATAATAGTGGGTATGAATCTTAAAGGTTTCTCACTAAAAGAGAGAAAGCAGGGTAGCCTAATATTCCCACGTTGGCTAGTTAAATTACATACTAAATGAACATACTCTGTAATTTTACAGCCATATTCTTCAAACCGAAACAATGGCATGATTAGTACATAGAGATACCCATTCAAATTACTTTTATATAAAATCTTTGGCTTTTTTTATCAAACTTTAGCTTTATCACGAGGCTGTGCTCGTGTAATTCAATACATAAAATATCATCATAACCATACAGACATTCACATTTATTATACTAATGGCATGCTCGGTGACATATAAATATGTCCGGTATCGTTTAGCAGTTTTTACCATAATGTAACCTTTACAGTCGCCAAATGTTAGGAACCAAACTATACCATATCTACCATTCAATTGTCCATCCATTTAATTGTCCACTACTGAACATTGGTTTCCCTCTATTTGGGGGATAAACAAATGAACAGTACTATGTAAATCACAGAATACGTTGTGATACCGAAATAAGCCCTAATGGGTTGTCATACCTATCTGATAATTAAGAATTTACACATCCGTGCCCTTTAATTTTATTGCCATGTAACAAGCACTATTCAAACGAAATCATGCAAGTACAGTTTACTTCATGGAAGAAACTCGTGTGGAGCAAAGGTACCACAAACATGTAGACGACTTTTGTACAAAATCTTTTATTAAGTTTTCATTCATTTACAAATTTCTTTTTATTCCTTTTCTTTCTCCATTTTTATATACACACTGTCAAACTGCTAAACTTAGGTCTCTTCCATAGACTAACATAAGAAACGGTCCGAAGTCACTTATATCCACTAACTACCTTTGCACGGGCCTTCTGACATCTCGATCTGAGGGCCGATCGTAGAACTTGCTTCAATGGTTCCAGATTGGAGCCATGTTCATCTGATCGAGACTAGAAAATTACACAATAACATGCAAATAAAGAGGGGAAAGGGATTGTTAGTAATGGAGACTGAGAATCCCATTGCTAGCAATATACCCAACCTCCTCGCGGTTCCCCCTGGAAAATATCATGGTTGATTCCTAATGAATTCGGCATGATGGGCTAACTGGCCTGTTTTCATTCTCATCTTCACTGGTGCTCCGCCAGCGTATCTCGTTAGTGCAGGCGGGGTGACCATACCATTTTCCCCCATCCAAAAAAAAGGAGGTAACTAAGGGAGTGTGAGAGATGGGCAGCAGCGTCTCTCTTAAAACATCTCCAAAACAACGTCTAGCAAACTCAAAAACAAAAACAAAAGGCTTATATTCAGCAGTGGATAGTTGACGGCTGAAAAGAAAGAAGTAAGATCAATCTAGGTCCTAAACTTATTCATGCATTATCAAATATATTTTCAAATATTTCTTTAAAGGCATTATTTATAAATATTAAAACTATTCGCTTCAAAGTCTTATATAGGAAATCTAAAATGTCGCTAAGTTAAATCCGGAAATCGATGGCATTTTAAAGGTGCTTTCAAAGGCATTCCAACGATGAGTATTTCACGGAATTTTGCTACAGAAACTACCGGCGGAGTAACGATTTATACAATATTTTACATAAGCTCCATATCCAATATGGATATAACATTATATTTATCTAACAAAAAAATATACAACTTCATAAGCATGGTTCGTATATGTATTTATTTATTTATTAAACTTTATCACGCCTAGAAAGTGTAAATAGCAGATTTATCACCATATTTTTTAATACAACTTAGAATGGCAAACAAGCTGACGGTCCATCATAAGCAGTACCATGGACATAACAGAGTATACTGTTTCGTCCATAATACCCCCCATTCGTTGCAATTCCTGAGGACTCAGGTGTTATTCCACCGTACCCTATAAATTCACGCCATATCCCACCCTTTAAACCGAAACACAGCCATGCAAACACAACTGATTCACGGTTAAAACACGAATGGGACAGAGGTACCCAAGCAATCGACTTTTGTACAAAGTCTCCCTCTGGTACTTTCTCCGTTCAAAATACTATTATCATATCAGTTGGTAACTGTCCACTGCTGATCATAAACCTTATCCATAAGGGAAGTTTTTGTTGGTGATATTTGAAGAGGGACGTTGCTGCCCATCCCTCGACCATTCAGTTCTCTTGGTCGCTTCTTACAGCATCCGCAAGATATCGAAAAGTGACCCATTTTATGCCGAGACCACATGGCACAGTACAGTACATATAAATGTATGAAATTTAATTTTAGATTAACTTTCCACTAACATAATATCATTTTATAAACAAAACTCAATAAATTCCACAATTTTAATTAAATCTCACCCAAATTAAATTCATTGCAATAATGTACAGGATGTTTTTAAAAGCAATTAATAATTAATTGTTGGATTTGATTAAAATCAAGCATGCGGTGTTTACCTGTGATATATGGTATGGGTTGAGTAAAAAACATTTTTCGAGTAAACACAAACAAAGGGAAAAGTTCAAAATGGTGCCTACAATATCTCAGCTCAAGATTACTGTACATCTACTTATTTGGGTAGTAAGTAAACTATACATATAACTAGCTTTTACACGCGACTTCATCTACATGTCTGATATATATTCACTGACTGAGATATAAATAGGTTATGTCCTTTTCTAGTACTGTACCTGTGTACCAAGTTTCATAGTGATTGGGCACCAAGATTCATAGGCATGGGCACCAAGTTTCATAGTGATTGGGCACCAAGAAGGAAAAGAATTGTTAATAATGGAGCCTAATAGCCTCATTGCTAGCAATATACTCTATCAGGTATAATTAAAATATGTTTTCCTTAAAAAAATACTCCTTAAAATATTCATATTACATGTGATTTTATGATACCAGATTATACAATGGGAATATCCTTCACTATTGCAACGGCCATAGTTCCTATGTTTTTATTATTTTACGCTTTTACTTTTTACACTCAACTTTTTAAATATATTTTATTTCTTACTGTTATATTTCACTTATTTTACGGTCGTGAAGGCAAAATAGCCATAACCTGTGATTTTATTGTCTAGTATCATAAAACTACACATTAAAGGATTTTACCATGCAGATCTTTAATCTATGGATTTTACGAAACAATTCTATTATCTATTTTCTCTATAAAAAAACTAATGTTTGACAATGTCAGTTAATTATTACACAACTTAGAATCGCTTATTACATATTTCTGTAATATTATAATTAATATAAAATGGTATGTTAGAAGACATAATATGAAAATAGTAAACTTATTATAGATATAAACAATTACCAGTAATAATCACATTTAATTTATTATAATAAAGACTAGGCTAAAATATCAATTTTTTTTTTATAAATTTAAATAGCTAAAGATAAAAAATTTCCTTAAGATCACTGCCAGCTGGTAGGATACCTAGGAGACTTGCTGCATTTGAAAATAAATTTATTACGTATTTATACATTTCAGAACATAAATAAGAACTAATAGAAAACAAGAAGTTAAAATTTCTTTATTATATAATTTCCTTCGTCATATCATTTGAATATCTTATTTATATTTAACTAAACTTACTGAGTAAAAATTTATCTAACAATGTCAGCACCAGAAAAGGTAAATATTTACATTTATAATAACCATTTGGTAAATGTGATAATTTTTAAGTTTAAATAGGTATTTGTTATTATTTTTATTAACTCAGATATGGATTATTTCTCACTTAATTAGTTCATGATATTTTTGCTGGTCATTGACAAATATCATGGGCAAATGGACCTTGCCACGCCTGAATTGTCTTAGCTGTCTTGTGTCCACTCCAGGATGCAAAGCTTGGCCCCAATATGTCTGAGAGTGCGCTTTTTTTAAGGAGTCAGAGAGTCAGGCTCTCCCTGAATAATAATCTTAAATATACCAATGCCTTCTGAGCATTCCTATTAAATCTAATTTGTAATTTTTAGAATAATGAAGAGACGAATGAAAATAAAAACCAGAGCACTCTGGAACCAGCTCAAGAAGTGAGACAATAAGTTATCTTTACTAGTTTCATTAGAGGTTTTTTTCTGCAATTAAATTAATTCATTAATTCTGCATTTATTCATCCAACCTTAAACTGTCCATTGCTGTATAGAGGCCTCTCTAATAAGAAGATTTTGCCAATAGTAGCCACGCTTGGCAGGCGGGTTGACAACCGCAGTTAGGATTTTAGTGATATTTTAAGAGAAACAATACTACCCAGTCCATTGTTCCCTTAGTCGCCTCTTACGACAACCACGGAAAAGGAAGAGACAATTAAATTACCTGCTAATAATTTGTTCTGTATTTCTACTGAGACTTTCATAAGTTAAAAAAGGCTTCAAATATGTGCAGCAAAATTTTACTTTATCTTTCGATCTGAAATTATTAACAAACTTAATGAAAGTTTTTATTTCGATCCAAAATACAGATTATAATTTTCAGGATAATACAGAAGCTAATGAATACCGAAACAATCTTGATAAAGTTCAAAGAGTAAGTGAATATACTCGTATGGACTTAGATGTAATTAACTAATTATTACTTTAATCTACCGCCAATTTGAAACCACTTATCTTTGCATCCCTTTAATGTCCTACTGCTGGGAATACGTCTATTCCCTTTAGAAGAAAATAATTACAGCCCACTGTTTCAAAACTGGCCAGGCGACTTGTTACAGGGTTTTATTTCGGAAATTCCTTCTCTTTTATTTTTATATTATGCAATGTTTCCTTAGTCAACTCTTAAGTATTTTTAAAGCCTAAAAATGAATAAATAAAAGGTCAAGTAATGGAGTGGTAACTCTACCTGCACTATAGGTATACACTGGCGAAGCAAAAATGAAGGATAATGGGTGAGGTTAAAAGCAGGTCAATTGGTCATCAGGACGAATTTAACGAAGAACTAACCACGATGTTTTCCCGAGGCGGTGCTAAGGTACATGACTGTCAATGCGGTTATTTGTTCCCGTTATTAATAATCCCTTCTCAATAATAATAGAAAAAAAGATAAAAGAACGGTAACACATTGTATCCTTACACTGACACCATACGGAATAATGGTGGTTGCGTGGCACTTAATATAGTTTTTATGGTCCAGGATAATCCTGCGGATACAACAGTATACGACAACGACAATGTAAGTAAAATTGGTACCTGTGTTTCATTATGCTATAACTTTTATTGGTCTCAGAACTTACAAAGTTACAACCATTTGAAAACTTCCCGGAAAGTTTCTATGATTTCCTTGTTATAAATACAAACTTGTAATTGTTTGTTTGCTTTTAGTACGATGTTGCTTCTGTGTACACATTGAAAGGGGAATTATCACAATACATCGACAGAAGTGAAAGTTCACTGTACCATGAATATTACCCAGGAATTGAATCTGTACAATATAATTACATACTTGAAAGGCAAAATCCGTATTCGACTAAGTGAGTTCTGGATGGATAATAATAATCGCTAGCCCGAAAGATTTGAAGTGGTCTGGATCAGCTGCAAAAACTAAAGACTATCAACTAGTGGGGAAGAATTTTATTTGCATATTCCGGCCCATAGCGGTTTGCAACAGTTAATTTTAAACTTTCGCGTCATTTACACATATTTTAAATACTGTCGTGATCACGACGTGGTGCAATTCATGTCAAAATGTCGTCAACAAAGAAGTAAATATGTAGGTACTGTTTACCTGCAAAGGTTAAAAAGAAATTTTCCATCGCGTCAAGCCCTGATTGTGTATTTAAAATATGTTTAAACAACGAAAGCAGTAACTGTTGCCTATTGACATGAATTGTACGATCCCGTGTATTGCCATTTCTGAAAACTAAAATAAAACTCCGTAATCTGTAATTTCACTATGATATCCCGTCTTTCTAACCAAAACTCAATGATATATAAGAAACTTCTTAGTGCCTAAAATATGAGTGAATTAGAGATCCAAGATAACTCGAATACAAAGTCTCGCTCTTATATTACATATGACACTGAACTTTAATATTTCTTTTTTATTTAATTTTTGTAATATATTTACTAAAGCTTTAATAACATTGCAGTTTTCTAGAGTCTATGAGTCATCTAATCAAAAGCTGCTTAGGTGCTGGTATCCTGGGCATGCATGAAGGTTTTATGTATGCTGGAATTTGGACGTCCTTAGTCACAGTTTTCATTCTTGGATTATTTATACCTTATAGCATGCTAGTAAGTATCCATAATATTGATATCTAAAATAAAAAAAAGATTTTCATTACCATAATAATGTACTAAAATACCATTGCTGAACATAAATCTCTTCCATGAGAATGTCTTCAGGTGATTTTATCAAAAAGCACTCATTATTAGATAATGGCAGCCTTAATTAATCAGCAGCCAAAAGAAAAATTAACAAATAAAATTATTTTGCCTTCACTTCTTCCTCAAACTTCGTCATACGATTCACGTTAAATTACTCGCTTAATATATAACATGTGAATGATGTGGGTTGTATTGTAAAAAAGTTGCAGATAACTCAGGACTATTCCTTATAACTGTGGAGGAAGCCTATATTCAGGAATAAACTATAAACAGCTGAAATAATGATTATGAATATAAAGTATGTCCATCAGATGTATAGTCCATCAGGTGGACCGTCAGCTTGTTTACCATTCTAAGTTGCTGATTAATTGATTAGATTTGTTTAATTCCGCTACTATTAGTATGCGGTCGACTGCTAACACTCGAAGTCTGACTATTATTATTACCAGAAGTTCTACAACCTTCTATGTTAGCCATCAGTCTCCGACTGCTATTAAGTCCACGCAACGTCAACTAACCGATGATAAATATTTAAATCAGATGTTGGTGACTTGTGCTCAAAAGATGTACGTAAAAATTCGTGTACCAAAACTTACATATGCTGATTTAGCTGAGGCAGCTATAGCTACTGGACCACTTAAACCTTGCAGGCGACTTAGCAAAACGTTCAGGTCTTAATTCTTAACTAACTAAATAAGTTTAACTGTAACCTATATTTATAATATTTTAGAATAAATTTAAAATCCTTAGAAACATTTTTAGAAAGTATTCACTAGTGTAACAAATCATTTTTCCTTAATTTTTTTTTTTTTAGTCTTTTATTTTAAGCACATTTCATTTAAGTCAAGTTAGTATTTGAAACCTAAAAAACTACCAATATAGGTTACTATCTATAACTAAACTGAAAAACTACGAGTAATTTTAACCAGTCAAGGAATTTTCAACTGAGTTAACACTAATTTTATTTTATTCATAAATAAATTCGTAACATAAATTTTGAAATTTATATTTAAATCATAAAATATTTATTACCTAATTTATATTACAAAGTCTTACCTCCTCAGGTATATAGTGGATTTTTGCCTTTTCTTGCAATTATGTGGAACTTGTTGCATTTATGAAATCATGATAGCCGATACTCTTAAACAGGTAATGTTTCTGTCTGGTAATATTTTGTAACTAGCTCTTCGCCCGCTACTTCGTACACGTTAATTTCTGGAGTAGAATAAGCAATTACATATATCAATTCTAGATGGCGTATCAAAATAAACATAACTGTGAAAATCGCATTCAATTTGGTGCAATAGTTTTTGCATGATAGTAGAATAAATGTACAGATAGAAAGAAAAGCAAAATTTCTATAAATACTTGTTTTAGATTCTACTGCTCTTATACTTCTCAAATCGCATTTTCTTAAATATATTCCATGTACAAGCAACGTCTACTTACAACTTTATTATATTAGTAACATGTGTATACCAAATTTCATAGTGTTTAATTAATTCATTAAGACACCAAGAGGTAATAAACAACCATACTCACTTCCAAATCGGTAAGGATTTTTTTTATAAAAATGACAGTACAATTATCTCTGATATCATCTGACCTCTTGAACATCGACACGTAAAAGAGGATTACATAAATTTTATTGTAATATCTAAATTTGTTTTAGGTACTAGAAGCTACAAGTGAGACAGCATCGAAACAAAATTTTTCATTAAGAATTTACATCGTCATATCCATGATACCCCTACTGGTTTTAACTTTAATTAGGAGTTTGAAATATTTGGCACCGTTTGCTTTGGTCGCTGATTTGTTTGTTGGTAAAATATTATTGTTTATTATTAAAGGAATTCTAGCAGAACGCTTGCATACTTAGATTTTGAAATAATGTATTCAAATAAAATGGGTCGAAAACCAGTGGCTGGAAAGACCGAGGTCGTATGCCCGTGTGCCCTTACTCTAAAATTGGATCTAAGGACAGATAACTAGAAAACAACCCAAACACAATATGAGACAATACTTAGAATGGCCAACAAGGTGAGAGTCTAACTGATAGAAAATTATAATCACCTGTCAACCCTACATAGGTTTCATGAATAAAGCGTGTGGTAAGGCTGCGACCTACACCTAGAGAGTCTTTATAAATTATACCCGTGTGCTACAGACTAGCTTGTTTGAGTAACGCATCACGATTGCCCTTTTAATATTCATATTCGGGGGAAAGGGATTGTTAGTAATGGAGAGTGAGAATCCCATTTACCAGAGGGAGACTGTGTACAAAAGTCGATGGCTTGGATACCTCTGTCCCATTCGTGTTTCCCCCTGGAAACTATCATGATTAATTCCTGATGAATTACCTCCTCGCGGTTCCCCCTGGAAACTATCATGATTAATTCCTGATGAATTCATCATGATGGACTAACTGGCCTGTTTTCATTCTCATCTATCACCCTTCACTGGTGCTCCGCCAGCGTATCCCGTTAGCGCGGACGGGGCCCATTCGTGTTTCAACCGTGAAGCAGTTGTGTTTGCATGACTGTGTTTCGGTTTGAAGGGTGGGATATGGCGTGAATTTACTGGGTACAGAGGAATAACACCTGAGTCCTCAGGAATGGCAACGCATGGGGGGTATCATGGGCGAAACAGTATACTCTGTTATGTCCATGGTACTGCTCATGTCTATAGGCGACGGTTACCACTTTCCATCAGGTGGGCCGTCAGCTTGTTTGCCATTCTAAGTTTTATAAAAAAAAAAAAATTTTCACCCATAAAAAAAATTCGTATTCAACAATAGGTTTAGTTTTTGATCATGAACATCAGAGAATAAATTATGATGCCCATGGTATGTCTCATGTATTGCCATTCCTGAGGACTATGATGTTATACCTCCGTACTCTGTAATTTCACTACAAAAAGTTCTTTTTCTTCTTCAACTATACACTTCAACAATCATGCAAGCACAAATGCTTCATGACAACTACACGAATGGAACTGAAGTACCTAAGCGGATAACTTTTGTACAAAGTCTTCCTCGACATCATTCCTCGATATCAGCCCTTAACTTTCATTGCTGAATATAGGCCTCCCATAGAAGATTTTGCCAATAATTGCCATGCTTGACAAGTAGGTTAGCAACCGCAGTTAGACTTTAATGATGTTTTAAGAGGGGCACTGCTATCTATTTCTCGACCATTAAGTTCCCATAGTCGCCTCTTACAACGTCCACGTGAAAGGAAGAGGTGCTCCATTCTATGCCGGAACCATACGATGTTTACATTATTATTATCTGTTTATTATTATATTTTCAGCGGTATGCATAATAACGACTATGTACTACAGTATAGCAGTTGCAAGTGACATAAGAGATCGACCAGCTTGGAAAAATTTTCACGGTTTGATCGAATTTTGCGGAGTTTGTATTTACAGCATGGATGGAATACCAATAGTACTGGCGGTGGAAAATAATATGAACACACCTCAGTACATTAAGCATGTTATATTGTACGGTAAGTTATTCGTTTAATTCCACTAATAACTGATAATTTAATATAATAATAATAAAAACTACAAAACAATAATGGATTTCTACCGAGGCAAAATCAATATTGATAATCTTTCAGATAAAAAGGGAATTTTCCAAATCAGCTTACATATGACACAGTTTTGAGGTAACGAACATAATAAACTTTACCAGAGGGAGACTTTGTACAAAAGTCGATTGCTTGCGTACCTTTGTCCCATTCGTGTTTCAACCGTGAAGCAGTTGTGTTTGCATGGCTGTGTTTCGGTTTGAAGGGTGGGATATGGCGTGAATTTACAGGGTACAGATGAATAACACCTGAGTCCTCAGGAATGGCAACGCAGAGGGGGTATCATGGGCAAAACAGTATACTCTGTTATGTCAATGGTACTGCTCATGTCTATAGGCGACGGTTACCACTTTCCATCAGGTGGACCGTCAGCTTGTTTGACATTATAAGTTATATAAAAAAAAACTATACACAAACAAATTGACAACCTCTTTTTTTTAATCGGTTGAAAATCACGTCTATTAGTTATAAAAGGTATGTGATTCCGGCATAAAATGGTCCACCCTTTCCTCTCTCGTGGGTGTCGTAAGAAGCAACTAAAAGAGATTAATGGTAGAGGATTGGTCCTTCTTTAAACATTATCAAAGCCTAATTATGGTTACCAAATCGTCTGCCTAACTACTAGCAAACCCTCCCAAAAGGGGGAAGCCTATGTCCAGAAGTGGATAGTTAACAGCTGATATGGTATGGACTTAGATTATATAGATAGAGCATCGAATCTCAAGAATGGATCGACTTTTTGTCAAGTTAACTGACCCGTTTTTTATCAGTGTTCTATCTACTTACGCACATAATGTACCTTGACGTATCTATAATTAATTATTTAATAAATATAATGAGTTTTCACGCAAAAAGATGCAAAAAATATAAACCAAAATAAATATTGAAGTTATAAAAGAAACGCTCATAACTATTTGTCACACAAAATTGAACTAAAATTTTGCATTGCACTTCTATGGAGACACTCTATCTATATGGGGGGAGAAGGGATTGTTAATAATGCGGATTATCAGTTCCATTGCTAATAATATACCCTAACAGGTCGACCTCCCCGTGGTCTCCCCTGGAAACCATCGTGCTAAATTCCAAGTGTATTCATCACGATGGGCTAACTGACCTGCCTTTTTTTCCTCATCTATTACTGGTGCCCCGCCAGCGTGTACTATTAGCACAGGCGGGGTTACCATTCCATTATCATCCATTAAAAAAAACTATCTATATAATCTAGGGGTATAATATGGTTCTATTATTATGTACATGATTTATCGACCTTATTTTTAGAGATATAAGATCTCAAATATATATCTATATAACAATAGTGTCTAGCTTGTAAGGCGCAAATAATTTTTCGTCCGTCTAATTTAACATGAATGAAAAATCTGTCTAGACAGATTTTCTGTCAAAAGTCTGTCGTGGAATATTTTTATAAGGTTGTTATTTTTAAGCTAACATAAATGGATTCCGTCTTTAGGGTTCCGTAGATATCTGACTGCAATTTCGGTGTGTGAAAATAGATTCTATTTTTTACACTCAGTATTGTTTATTTTTAAAAGATTTCCTAAAAGTTCTTCATTCATTTACATTTATTACGTGTTATTTGAATCAATGCTAAAACGATTATAATAATGATTTTTGATTAAAAAAAAAATTTTTTAGTATAAGTTTTATTTATCATGACTAAAGTTCAATATTTTCAACCAACTTCAAAAAAATGAGGTTCTATTTTTTATGTTATTCGATGGTATTTTTTATGTTTATTACTTCATAACTCCGCCATTTCTAAACCGATTTGAAAAGTTATTTTTTTTTAACGGAATGGATATACATATTTATAGATTAGTCTTATAGATATTTTATCAAAATCGGTTCAGTAATTTAAGTTTTAGCTCTAACCAACAGATTTTGTTACAATTGATTGTTTTTTTTTGTATGATACAATCTTTAATCCATCATCATATCAGCCTTTTAACTGTCCTCTGCTGAACATAAGCCTCCCCCTTGGGGTGTTTTGCCAGTAGTTGCCATACTTGGCGGACGGATTAGCAACCGCAGTTAGACTTTGGAGATGTTTTAAGAGGGACGTGCCGCCCACTCCTCGCCTTCCCTTAATCGTCTCTAACGATACCCACGGGCAAGAACAGGGTGGCCTATTCTATGCCAGAACCAACGACCAATCATTAATTATTATGTATTAAAATATTAAATTATATAACGTACACTGTTATTTTGATAAAAATATAAAGAGAAAAATAAATTACAGATATTCATTGGAAGATAAATATTTACTTTAAATTTGTAATTTAGATGTATTAATAAAATTCGTTTATTCGCTGTCTGTGGCCCTGCATAGAATGGGCCACCCTTTCCTATCCCGTGGGAGTCGTAAGAGGTGACTAAAGGAGGGCGAGGGATAAGCAGCAGCGTCCTTTTTAATACATCTCCAAAGTCAAACTGCGGTTGCCAACTCGCTTGCCAAGTGTGGCCACTACTGTCAAAAGTATGGTTTATGTTCAGCAGTGGACAGTCAACGGCTGAAATATTAATAATTATAATAATTTACATTTATTAATAAACATTGCCACAGGGAGACTTTGTACAAAAGTCGATTGCTTGGGTACCACTGTCCCATTCGTGTTTCTACCGTGAAGCAGTTGTGTTTGCATGGCTGTGTTTCGGTTTGAAGGGTTGGATGTGGCGTGAATTTACAGGGTACGGAGGAATAACACCTGAGTCCTCAGGAATGGCAACGCATGGGGGGTATCATGGGCGAAACAGTGTACTCAGTTATGTCCATGGTACTGCTCATGTCTATAGGCGACGGTTACCACTTTCCATCAGGTGGGCCGTCAGCTTGTTTGCCATTCTAAGTTGTATAAAAAAAAACATTATATACAAATAAATCGCTTTGATATAAGTACGGAACTCTCATAATAAATGCTCTATACGCTCTTGGCCAGTTTTACTATTTAGATCAGTCAACCTCATTTTATTTTTCTATTTAAAGTATAACAGACGTACTTTCTGGTTTAAAATATTCATATTTATTTTAAACATCAAATAGCTTAAACCAAAACTAGACCAATGGGTCTAGTTTTGTTTAAGAATATGAGAAATATTGTATATTGTAAAAGGGGTTCTTAAGTAGAGACCACGTACATGCAAGTATGGTATAGGACGAACACCCACTACCTAGACAATTAATGATAGAGGGATGAATAGCAACATACCTCTTAAAACGTCACCAAAGTCTAACTGCGGTTTTCGACCCGCCTACCAGGGGGGAAAGAGATTGTTAGTAATGGAGACTGAGAATCCCATTGCTCATTTGCCATTGCAGCAATATACCCGACCAGGTCGACCTCCTCGCGGTTCTCCCTGGAAACTATCATGGTTAATTCCTGATGGATTCATCATGATAAACTAACTGGCCTGTTTTCATTCTCATCTATCACCCTTCACTGGTGCTCCGCCTGCGTATCCCGTTAGCGCAGGCGGGGTTACTATTTTCACCCTTCAAAAAAAAATCCGCCTACCAAGCGTGGTGACGATACGGTGGCACAAGTTCCCTTATAGGCAAGACCTATGTTCACTTGTGGACAGTTAACGGTGAATCCAAAAAACCACTGCTACAAAAACATCCAACTTTGATTGTGACAAAACCAGTTAAATTGATCTGAAAATTAAACTACTAAACCGATTATGATACAATTTCTATGAAACCAATTTAAAAGTATATCCTTCCTTTCAGATAAAAAAAAATAATTATCCAAATTGGTTCACACCTGACGGAGGTATACGGTAACAAACAAAAAAAAAATAAAAAAAACTATATATAGCCGAATTGAGAATCTCCTTCTTTTTGAAGAAGAAAGTGATCTGATGAGTATATTGCTAATACTGCTAGCAATGGGATGCCTGTCTCCAATATTTCTGAATCCTCCCTCTCTCTGAATTTTTTTTTTCATCAACGAAAACCAAATGGTAGCCCCGCTTGCATTATCGGTGTATGCTGGCAGGGTACCATTGAAGGACGATAGGTGAGGATAAAGCAGCTGGATAGTTGGCCCATCGTGATAAATTCAATAATAATTAACAATGATGGTTTCCAGGGAAAACCGCGTGGAGGTCGACCTGATAAGGTATATTGCTAGCAATGGGACACTAGTCCCCGTTACTAACAACCTCTCCTCTTTGTAAATAGTAAAATAATTATGTTTCACTTTCAGGCATGACAATTGTGGTTATCGCTGTAACAATTACAGGATTCTTTGGATACTGGGCGTGGGGGGAGTCATGTCGTACCCCCATAACTACCCACATGCCAATGGAAATGTACGTAAAGATCACCATCTTTACCCATCCATAAAAATACCTATAAAACTACTCACAGTACCTAGTTTAGTTAGTCAACATGATAGAACATTGACACTGATATAATGTAGATAGATGAGAATGAAAACAGGCCAGTTAGCCCATCATGATGAATTCATCAGGAATTAACCATGATAGTTTCCAGGGGGAACCGCGAGGAGGTCGACCTGGTTGGGTATATTGCTAGCAATAGGATTCTCAGTCTTCATTACTAACAATCCCTTTCCCCCCAATCAGTGTATTTGATACTTACATAATATATATTTAAATGCACAACTACGCCGTCATTATAGACTCTCTCCTTTTTTGTACGCCAATCTACAGGACAATTTGAAAATCTGCTATTTTTAAGGATATATCCCTCTATTTTTCATAGCATCTATGTAGTTCCAAAATTTGTTAATATTGAATACTGTTAATCATTATCATATCATATCATTCATTAACTGTCCACTGCTGAAAAGGGCCTCCCCTATAAAGAGAGTTTTGCCATTAGTTGCCACGATTGGCGAACGGATTGACAATCACGGTTATGTTTTGGTGATGTTTTAAGACGGATACTGCTGCTTATCCTTCGACCATTAAGTTCCCTTGGTCGCTTCTTACGAAAGTCACCGCAAAGACAAGGGTTCTGCCATTCTATGCTAGGATTACACAGCAGAGTATGTCCAAGTATTTACCGACACATATATAATTTATTGCAGGCTTCCAATCATACTTAGATTTTTACTGGTAGGAATGTTGGCTGTGACTTTTGCTGTGCAATTCTGGGTTCCATTTCGAACAGTATGGCATTACATTGGAAAGAACTGCCTAAGGTAATTAATGCTCTTTTCCACTTAGATTTTTCTAGAAGAGAACTCTTACAGAGTTAAGCTGTTGTACGTCTTTATTCAGAATTCATTATAGCATGTTCAAGGGTAAAAAATCGAATTATATATAACAAATAAATACTATATTAATATGTATCTTTATTTTATGAATGTTTATATGTACGTAATTTATTATATTATACTAAAATATAAATAATTTTACTTTAAAACCGCCATCAAATATCTCTGCACATTCTAAAGGTTGACTGGTAGAGAACTTCAGTAACATTAAGGTCGCCTTTTGTACTCCATTTTATTGATCATTAAAGTTGAAATAAATAAATAAATATCTAAATAACATATATTCACAGATAGTGCAGTGAAACATTGCTGTATTATTATAATGTAAATGTCATTCCTTCTTATTCTAGGAAACGTGCCTGTTGGGAGAGATTTTATAGATTGTTGCAAGTAGTTGCAATCACAGCTGTTGCTCTAATATTTCCAAATATGATTAAACTAATGATTTTTGTAAGTATCAGATCTTAGAAACAAATCAATCCTCGTAAGATATATATCTTCAGCTCTTATATATATATACTGACTGGAACTGGGTTAACTGGAACTGAAGCTCTCTTCAGAGATAAGTCCACCCTTGCTCACAACAATTATAAATACATTACTTTATATGTAACTTACAAGTGCAATAAAGATATATGTATATATTGTTTATTTCACTTGAAAAAAAGATACAGCGATTAGTTTAACAACTTGTTGGCAAGTGTAAAAAATAATAATAATAAGAGAAGAAGTTTTGTTATGTTAAAGTTTTTCAAGAAAGAATGTTCTTAAAAGTTATTTTTTTATACCACGAAGGTGGCAAACAAGCTGTATATAAGCGGTCACTATAGGTCATGAACCCCTGTAACACTAAAGATGATATCCCTGTAGAAACCCCAACACACCCTTTTTGAGGAATCCCATCTGTAGTCTTGAAGAAACTACGACAAGGAGCTCGTTCCACAACCTGAATGTTCGCGAGACAAAACTTTTCTAAAACCGCACCATACGCAAAATGTCTTTATATTTTTAATCCTTCCAAAAAAAATCTAGTTCTCAATTTATCTGATTTTTTTTATGTCTTTATTACGAAGTTACATCGTTATTTCTGAACCGATTTCCACGATTCTTTTTGCAATCGATAAAATGTACTTCCGTTGGTTCCATTTTAATTTTGATTTCTTCTTTCTAATTTTGATTTGATTCTAACTATCATGTTTACCTTAAAAAGTGCATATTGTTTCAGATGGGTGATTTCTTTCTGGCGTTCATCACTTTTATATTTCCAGCGCTTATAAACATAAATGTGACTTGGAACGAACACAAACCTAGGACTATTAGGTATAATAAACTTTTTTTTTATTGTTAAGAAGCCAAATTAGGCTACCGTCGTCCATGAACACCTGTAACACAACAGGAGTTACTTGTAAAATTATTTTAAAATTATTTATTATTTTGCACTTGTAAATTGCATATAATATAATGCATTTATAAATGTCGTGAGCAAGGGTGGACTTATCTCTGACAGAGATCTCTTCCAGTCAACCCAATACAGTGAGAAAGCATGTCGTTAGCGGGCAGCTGAAGTGCTACAACTATTAATATTTAAAAGTACGTAAACAAATATACAGTTAAATAAAACATTAAAATATATAATAAAACATTACATATATAAATATTCTATAAATACATATAATACCTACTTATATAATAAATGTTACATATCACAGAAGGAGGGAAATATTAGTAATAGAGATGAACAGGAATATACCCCATCAGGTCGATCTCCTCGCAGTCTCGCGACTGGTTTTTGTACACAACACAAAATAAGTGTTTTGCTCTTTTGAGGGCAAAGCAATAAACTGAGCTGTGACCATTTTGTGTTACTGTGGCACACGCACGAAATAAAAAATTATGTTACTTCTTTTATGTATTTTCCTTTTTTTTTGTATATATATTCTTTTATTTAATTTTTTTGTATCTATTTGTGTACTATAAGTAGTGCAAATTAGTTATTTATTTATTTTTATTAATTATTTATTTACTGTTTCGCTCATGATACCCCCTATGCGTTGCCATTCCTGAGGAACCCAGTAAATTCACGCCATATCCCACCCTTCAAACCGAAACATAGCCATGCAAACTGCTATATTTATATATATATATATATATATATATATATATATATATATATATATATATATATATATATATATATATATATATATATAGCTTATACAATGAAAATACTTTTTTAGCTCTTTATACTTATTAAGATTTATTATTATATAACTCGCTGTGGTCTCAGCATAGAATTTCCCTTCCTTTCCAATGGGTGTCATAAGAGGCGACTAAGGGAGGGCGAGGGAGGGCGAGGGATGTCGACCTCCACGTGGTTCCCCCTGGAAACCATCGTGAACAATTCTTGCTGAACTCGTCACGATAAGCTGACTGACCTACTTCATCCTCACCTACCATCCTTCACTGGTGCGCCGCCAGTGTTAACCGTTAGCGCGGGTGGGGTTACCATTTCATTATCATCCATTAAAAAAAAAATCTATTCTGCATCCTTAATTTTACGTACAGCTATTTAAATTTTACCCTGTTTTTTTCTTATCACATAGGGGGCAAACAAGCATGCGACTCACCTGATGGTACCTGTAAATTGACTAACTTCTTTATATTTTATTTTTCCAGATGGAGTTGCATAAAGGATGTGGCCATAATACTGTTTGGTGTTGTTTTGTGTGTCGGCTCATTATATTCATTATTTGATTAAATTGGACTCCATTAAATGATAACACTGCATGTTTTATGGTATGGTGTAGATGGCAGGTCTCTAAATCTATAAAAAAAAATGCAACATACGATTTTTTTATTATTATTACATCACTCTGAGAAAATGGGGGGAAAGGGATTGTTAGTAATGGAGACTAAGAATTTCATTGCTAGCAATATACCTAACCACCTCCACGTGGTTCCCCCTGGAAACTATCATGGTTAATTCCTGATGAATTCATCATGACAGGCTAACTGGCCTGTTTTCACTTTCATCGATCACCCTTCATTGGTGTTCCGCCAGTGTATCCCGTTAGCGCTGACGGGGTTGCCGTTGCATTTTCACCTATCAATAAAAAACTTTTTTTTTTATACAACTTAGAATGGTAAGCAAACTGACGGCCCACCTGACGAAAAGTGGTAACTGTCGCCTATAGACATGAGCAGTACCATGAACATAACTGAGTATACTGTTTCGCCCATGATATTTATTGGGTACCTCTGTCCCATTCTTGTTTCTACCGTGAAGCAGTTGTGTTTGTGGCTGGCTGTGTTTCGGTTTGAAGGATGGGATATGGCGTGAATTTACAGGGTACAGAGGAATAACATCTGAATCCTCAAGAATGGCAACGTATGGGGGATATCATGGGCGAAACAGTATACTCTGTAATGTCCATAGTACTGCTTATGTCTATAAGTGCCGGTTACCACTTTCCAACTGGTGGGCCGTCAGCTTGTTTTCCATTATAAGTTGCATAAAAATATACCTCCTCCTTTTTAAGTCGGTTAAAAAATAAAAAGAAATTAGAGTAGTCTGTCACTGTACCATCCTACTCGTATAATGCTCCGAGTGTAGAATCATGATTTATTTTTTTAATCTAAAATGTAAATATAAAATTATTTTAAATATAATAAACAAGTTCACTTATTTCAATTCTGTTTTACTTGTAATTCTACTACGTACTATTATTATAAATGAAATTTTATGGAAATGTATGTATGGATGTTTGTTACTCTTTCAAACAAAAACTACTTAACACAACTTAAAAAAATACCATACAGATAGGTTATATTTAATTTAACATATAGCATACTCTGTATACAGATTCACGTAGACAAAGCCGCAGAATACAGCTAGTTTAGTTTACGTGTGATTTTTTTCACAAAATGAGCAACTCTACAAAATACAATAATGGTATTTTGTTATTATATCAGTAATAGGTCTTACGAAGTACTAAAGTGTATAGATAGAGTAATGATTCCATATTATTTATAAGATATAGCATGTTCAATTTATATCTAATTTTTACACAGATATTGTTATTTAATAATAGTAACATAGTATCGTAGATATACATAATCATAGATGACGCAAGTGCTTTTTTTTTTTTTTTTTTTTCTTTTTTTGTGGCGTTCACCCCGATATTAGGGTATTTTGCCAAGAACAAAACGGGGAAACGATAATAGTAATAAAAATACCTAACACAAACGAATTTAGAAAGGATAAGGATTAGGTCTAGGATATTTATAGGATATGAAACATATACTTGTACATATGAGAATATACTTATAAATATATAGGAAAAGCAATTGATGCAACTATAAATGTATTCATGTAATATAACTAAATCTTAATATTGTTATCATATATATATGAAGATAGTATTTTATAGATAATAGGATCATTGGAAGAAAGTAGAGTAAGAATAGAAGTTGGGAATGGAACACGGATGGATCGGAGATGATTAAAAAGGGAGGTGTGGTCAAATTTAGAACATGAGAAGAATATATGATTCAAGTCCGCCACTTCAGCACCGCAATTACACGACGAACTTTGTACAATACCAAGCTTGTATAAATGAGAAGGTGTGCATACGTGACCTAGACGCATACGAGTTATAATAGTTGTTGCGGTCTTTCCAAGCTTTAATTTACAAAACCATGGTTTGAAAGGAATATCGGGTTGTATAAGGCGATAAAATCTTCCTTTTATTGTACTTGTTTTTTTCCCAATATTCCTTCCAGGCATACCTTAAATATATTTTTGGGAGACAAGCTAGGTCGCTACAGTAATTATGATACGGATACATATCACCACAAGTTACAGCCTCTCTTGCAATAAGGTCAGCTTTGTCATTGCCGCTAATACCACTGTGTCCTGGTAACCAGGCAAAAGAAACGGAATAACCTCTCAACATGCAAAGATAAAGACTTTGTCTTATGTCACAAATAATGGGATAAACTGGTTTTGATTTAAACGGATATTTGGCTAGAGCTTGCAAAGAGCTCATAGAGTCAGTGAAAACTATTGCCTTATGTAATTTCATTAAAAGTATATATTCTACAGCTTTTAAAATACCATAACATTCCCCGGTAAAAACTGAAGACTCCGGTGGAAGTTTAATTTTTTGAACGATATTAAATTGTGAATGAAACACACCCACACCTACACAACCGCTATTGTCTGGTTTTGATGCATCAGTAAAGATGTAGTGCCATTCATTCCATTCAATGTCAGTTATAAACATAAATTTGGCATTCAATTCTGAATCATTTTTTAATAACCCAAAATCATATTTAATATTAGGAGATAAAACTAAAGATTGATATGAGCATTTATAAATGGGAAAACAGGACGATGTAAAAGTGGGAGATTCTATGGATTTATATTTTTCATAACTTTGTATTAAACATGGAGGTTTTTTATGTTTCCAATAAGATGAAGACGAAATAAAGATATGTAGTTGAGATAACTTTTGAATAAGCGGATGATCAGATAATTGTAAACAACGAAAAAAGAAGCGATCAGATAGATATTGTCTTCTTAAAACCAAAGGTGGATCACCGACTTCGAGCTGTAAAGCATTGATTGGACTTGATTTCATTGCTCCAGAGATAATCCTCAAGGCCTTTGATTGAATTAAATCCAATTTCTTAAAAGCAAATGAACTTCCTGGAGCTAACAAAAAAGTTCCATAATCAATGACACTCCTTATAAGACCATTATAAGCAAGTTTTAGTGAAACGGGATGTGCTCCCCACCAAACTCCAGCAAGGCACCTAAGAATGTTGAGGTTACGCTCACATTTCGTAGAAATATAATTACAGTGGGACAGACCTGTTAATTTATTATCTAGCACGATACCTAAAAATTTAATTTCAGTCTTTATAGGAATGTATGAGTTATCATAAAGCACCTTAATTTGTTGCGGTGATCTCATTCTTGAAAACAAAACTACACTACTCTTGGTTACAGAAAGATTAAGACCATTTGCATCTAACCACGTTTTTAACAAATCTAATGAATCAGATAATTTGGCAGAAGCAGATTCTATGGACTTCGCAATAAAATATAATAAAAGATCATCAGCATATTGTAAAATTTTGACGGATTTATCAAGGAATAATTCTAGATCGTATGTGTATATGTTAAATAAGATTGGACTGAGAACAGATCCTTGTGGAAGGCCTTTCCATACTGTTCTAGATAATTTGGTATCTTCATCTAAATTCATATATATTGTTCTTTCTGATAAAATATTAAAAATGAAATTAGAAAGCATTACCGGTACATTTAGAGCTTGTAATTTAGTTTTTAAAATAGAAATTATTACATTATCATAGGCAGAATTTATATCTAAAAAGGCTGAGAGGATTGACAAATTTTGTGAGAAAGCTATATGAATATCTGAAATAAGAATGCTCACATTATCTAAGGTGCTCTTACCTTTCCTAAAACCAAACTGGTTCGGGGATAGTAAGTTATTACTTTCTAAAAACCATTCTAGACGGTTTTTCACTAAATGTTCAGCTAGCTTTAGTAAGACAGAGGAAAGTGCAACAGGACGGTATGAAGATGGTTCAGAAGGTGGTTTATGAGGCTTTAGAAATGGTATAATAATCTGAGACTTCCATGAAGTAGGTATATTTCCCGAAATAATTATGGAATTAATTATATTTAAAAAGTAAATTAATGTCGCATCGCTAGCATTTTTAAAAAAGGAATACGGTATACCGTCTTCTCCCGGTGCAGAGTCTTTAATAGAAGCTAGAACACCTTTAAGTTCTACTAGAGTAAAAGGAGAGTCAAGTTCGAATAATTCGTCAGAGACGGATAGAGAAATATTGTAAAGGCATTCCGGCACATAACTAGGAGCAAGACGATCTAAAAATTTATTCGCTAAAGTTAAATCGAGTGCAGAACGTGATGTATGATCACTAAAGGCAGATCTGAATCTTTTAATATTATTCCAAACGACTGATGAATTAACTTCTGGACAGATAGAAGAACAAAATCTTCTCCAGCCTTCTAATTTCTTTTTTTTCAGTAGTTTTCGAGTAGAACGTGAAACTGCGGTGTAAATTTCAAAATTTTCTGGTGTCATGTAATTATTATAATTTTTTTCAGCCTCTTTACGATTTTTAATTGCTTCCGTACAATCTTTGTCCCACCAAGGTGGCGAGGGAATTTTCCCTGAAGCACTATTTTTAACAGGAAATAATAAATCAGCAACCTCCTTCATATTTATCATCAAGTCATTACAACATTGATGTTCATTTCCATGGTAAACAATAGGTAACTCCGATATTTTATTATCTAAATATTGTTTGTAAATATTCCAGTCTACATTTGATAAATTATATTTAAGCCGAGGACCACTCTTTCGACTTGAGGGAATGGAAATTGGAAAAGAAAGAATGAGGGGAAAGTGATCGCTTCCGAAAGTAGAGGAATGAGGATACCACGACAGTGAAGAAGCTAAATCAGAAGAACATATTGAAATGTCAGGAGCACTAAACCCTTCATTCGGTGCAGTTCTACGTGTTGGTACATCTGAGTTAATAATACATAAGTTGTAAGTGTCAATTATCGTCAGGAGTTTTCCACCATAAAAATTAGAAGTAGAACTGCCCCACGATTGGTGTTGAGCATTAAAATCGCCCATTACGAGAAAAGGTTTAGGTAAAATTGAAAATAATTGTTCTAGTTGTGAATATATTTGGCATGTAGGATCAGGAATATATAAAGTAACAAAACAGATACCATTTATAATTATAGCAGCTGCATTAATGCCGCTATATACAGGAAGCGAAAAAGAAGAAAAAGGAAGGGAGTTTTTGACCAATATGGCAACACCGCCATATCCGTCAGCTCTATCATCACGGAGACTTGTAAAGCCTGAAATCCTAAAAGGATATCCTGGCTTTAACCAAGTCTCTTGGAGAGCTATTATAAAAGGATTATATTTATTAATCAAATAAAATAAGTCTGATTTCTTGTTTGTTATGCTACGACAGTTCCACTGAATTATTAGGACTTTGTAATCCATTGTGAGAAGTTAATAATTGAGAAAATACATTGTAAATGGCATCGTTGGACGGTGGTAAAGTTGTTTGTATCATTTTCGATTGCGATAACACTTTAATAAGCATGAGAATAATATCAAAGATGGATTGATTATTGTCAATATTATTTGATGATAATGCACAACCATTAGAGGGAGCAGGAATATTATATTCCTTAACTATGGCTTCATGGGCAGAACGATCATATCCTTGTTGTGCTTTTTGAGGAGAGCGTGGTTTAAGTGTAACTGTTTTTTTATGTGATGATTGAATATGTGGTAATGATGATTTCTCTTTGAGGAAAGAAGATTGAAAATGAGATTTATTGACGGAGATGATGATGTTAATACATCTGAATATAGTTTAGAAGTGGGAGGATGAAATTTTGATGCTTCAGCATAAGAAACACAACTGTGGGCCATTGTTTCTTTAATGGCTTTCTGACGTGCATATTCAGGACATTTCTTACTAATT